ATATATATATATATATATATATATATATATATATATATGCGTGTTTTATACCACGAACCTCCAAAATTTCATGTGAAAAAAGAACGCAGTGTATAGGATACAGTGGTTCATTCTGAAATATCCGGTAGAAAGATCACTTCCAAAGGGAGTCCACAGCAAGCACACACAGACAGAATTTTACCGGATTTCCCACTTATGGGTAGTACAAACTCACCCCTGAAAAGGGCCAGGATTTTGTCCCCAAAAGGAGATTATGAACTTGATCATTCATGCGAAAATATAGCAAAAAGTAAACTTCAAGGACCGTATCTTGAGTGCTATAAGTCTGGTACACGAACCTGCGCATTAATGGCTTCCGAGGTGCTCATAACAAGGCTGAACTAACCGAACAAATTCGAAAAGAAGAGCATTCTCATCCTTAGTGCCACACATGTGACTCCTCGATGAGAGCATTACTAATCATGATACAGTAGCTGATCGTGGAATATATATGCGTCAATTAATGTTTTTACTGAATGATAGTCAAGTTAGGTTTTATAGGCACCTCTTTCCTGCCGTTATGTGGTCAAGGACTACAGGGTGTGCTATCACTGGAAGGGTGGGTAAACCTAGACTAAAAAAACATTTTGGCGACGCAATCATGAAACCAAAAAACAGATTCTCGGAAAACAGCCAGTTGTGTGATGATTTTTGGATTTATGAATTGTAGCCTAAAACGTCTTCCATACTAAGATTACTCTCAGGATAAATGGAAATTTCGGAGGACGTTTTTGGAAACTGGACCCTACTCTGGCCACCGAACAAGTCAATCAATTTGCTTATGAGTAGATTAAAGATGTTCGGCATGAGTTTCACTATGCTTATGACAGGAGAAATTAGCACAAGCAGTCTGTTTAAACTAATTGGTTCTCGAGCCTTTCACAACCTTTCGCACATTTCCGCTACTTGGATCTTATAGATTGCCTCAAGAAAAGTTCGCTTCCAGGATAGGTTGCGAAAACCTGTTACAAGTCAATAACCTGACACTAGGATAGAAACCGTGGTTCCTGAAAAAGATCACAATGAAATGGTAGGCTGAAAGGAGGAGAACATACCAAAATGTGCAAGGTACATGCGATGCGCTGTCTTGCGAGATTGTTCAGCAACCGGGTGATAGACGAAATCTGAACACAATGCACAGTACAGCTCGCCGCGTTCTACGCAAATGTCTGAAAACAGAACGTTGAAAATATTCTTTATCTATTCTCACAGTGGCTAAGCTACATTAGCATTCAGTGACAGCTGGTAAAAGAAAATTGATACCAAGCCGGTAGTAGTGGATCAAGAGCATGGAAAATAGGACAGAACATATGAACCGAGTACTTGGGACACGGAGTAACCTTCGGACCAAATGTTAAAACTCTATGTTTGACTGCATACGATATGAGCTGCTAGTCATTCAACACAACTTACATATTACATGTTCAGGGCGTTCCTTTCGATGCACCTCCAAGTGTCTTGGGTGCCAACAAGAAAAGTGGATACAGTGTGTACAGGCAAGCAGACAACGCGGTCGTAATGCCTGTTCTGATGCTGGTAGGGTTCCTGCTTTGGCACAGTCGGCGCACTCGATGGATGCCTGGAAGTGACAAAATCAAGTCTGGTGACACATTTGGTAAAAACGGTTTGGTTGCTCCTAAACTGGTAAACTTATTCATTTGGTGACAAGGTCAAGGACAACGATACTTCAAAACCTGTTACGATCTTTGGCAACGAATACGAATAGCATCAAACGTAACGTTTGGAAAATAAAACGAAGTTTGTGGGATGCGCGTATTCTGCCCAGCTGTGACCCCCGTGGAAGGATAATTTGTATGGAATTTCATTGAATGAAAGTGAAAAGACGTAGAAAACGTACGAGGGCAACAAAACGGCTCAAATAGAGATAAGGACTGCACTTCCTCTTCGTAGGAACGCTTATTTTAGAAATGCGTCGAAGGAAGTTTTAACAAATCCCAGATCCTTACAATTCACAACTTAATTTGACGTGAAATTCCTGAATACTAAGGAGGGAAGCAATTTACATCAATAGAGAAACAATCGGTCTGGAACTGTGCGTTTCTTGACAAACGGAAACAAAAGTCACAGAATGAGTAGCACCTACGCCCCTCATCTCGCTCCCCTCATTAGATAACATGTATTCTATTGCGTTTCACCAATTCAAAATCAGTCGAAATACAATAAGCGACTGTCAGATTGTGGTTGGATGTGCAGTGTACACCAGTCACCCTACCTGAGTTCGAAAAGCAGGTGACTATGGGTGATGACTCCTGTGCTGGAAAATTGATTATTCCCTGAAGATCAACTGTCTGGTATGTAAACTTTCGGCAGGGTGCAGTAGCCACAGCCTTGGCGTACCGTTCGAACACCGGAATATGTCAAGCGGCAGCAGTTTACTGAGGCAGGCATCGGTTGTTACCAAAAAAGACAAGTTTGCTAGGCTGAGAAGCTGCAGACTACTAAGGATAATCCAGAGGCCATTGAGGGTGTAAAGGACAGAAAAAAGGAATGAAGCCGAAATTGAGCATTTTGGACAACCTGAACTGGGAGGAGCATTTGTGAGGCCTTTAAGAAGGTAGGTAAACCAGCGTTCCTTGAAGATGTTGGGGGCCCCTGTAGTCTACAAAACAACCGCAGCTTAAAAATCTTGCGTCTAGGATTCTCTCTGAATATCGACAAGGCGTGTTTTTGTGGGTAACTGTTGTTGTAACCAGCATACAGTGGACTCCAATTTGCACCCCTCCCATGGACAAGTATCTCCCCTCAAAATGACCCCTTTGTCCCGGCACTGAAAATTTGAACATTGGAATGATGCACAAAAAACACCGGCAAATTTCGATCACACAAATCTCCAACAGTGCCCGCTTCCTTCTCGAACGCAGGGAATGAGAACATCATCTAGTGCCGTCAGTCTGTCCACGGCACGAATAGATGTTAAGACAGTAAATTTGGTTAGCTCGGATGCACTACACCGGTGCCAGTTACTAAGCTTGGCAGCAAAAATACAACAGAAATAAATGTTTTCACATTAGCCCCTTATCGTAGCAGACCACAAAACGTGGTGACAAGAGTGGGCTCAACGATGATCATTTTAGTTGTCCCAATCAAGGGAATACATCGCACAATACACCTGTTGGATCGCTCAGCAAACACGCACTTTTGTGGCTCATAATTCAGCCATTCTGAAGAGTCCAATGCTTGACACTTTCAGAAAAATGTACATTCGAGGCTGTAGACAAAGAAGGAAAGCCGTTCAGTAAGAAGTAAACCATCGCGAGACATTGCTCAACTAACACGAATAAGTAGGGCGGCTTTGAAAATAGCGAAGCAAATTAGTGAGAACACGCGATATGGATACCACGGAGGTTTTTGTCGATGGTACACAGTGAAACTGTGTTCCAGGTAATAGCCCATACTTTATTATACAATTTCAATTAGAGGAAAAGTTTCGCGGTGGCCGTGCGTTTCCTTCAGAAGGCTGTAATACGAGTAACTAAACGATGATGAAGATTGAAACTGGGTGTAGATTAGTTCCTCTCCTTTTTCGTGGCTAACTAACTGGATTATTGCCGTGATTGGTAATAAGTAGCGCGATTCACACAGACTGAATAATGGGGATAGCATCTGTGATGAAACGCGGTTACCAATTCGTTGCAAGCAGGCACATTACGGCGATAATCCTTTTCTGTGAAAAACAAACAACTTAACTCAATAAAGTCTTAGCTGTCGCATGAAACTAGCGAACCAGCCCGTCCCTCTAATAGAGACCTTCCTTCTCTGAGAAGCGGTTCCTTTGGACGGATCATAGAAGCTATTCCTTTTTCGAGGGAAGGGGACATTTCACCATAAAAGGTGATACGGGAGAGAAAGCTTTGACCGCCGTAGTTGGAATATTTGTAGCTCATATAGCATAAACGTACAACCTCCGAACATATCCCTTACAATTCAAGGAGAATTTTATATACCCCGGTAATTGTATTAGCTCTGACGGAAGTGTCTGATGAAGTCGGTGCAACAATCCCTAAAGCTCGAATCACGCTTGCTAATTTGCGTCACTTGTAGCGTCAAAAAGACATATCATTAAATCTTAAGGATCGCGTGCACCAGGCTACAGTAAGGGTTGTGTTGCTGTGTGGGTGCGAGACGTGGCCTCTGGACAAACAATGTGAGGTTTCTTCAGTTTTTTTTACTGACCGGAAGGTCCGTGGTTCGAATCCGACCTCCGCCACTCCACTTCCCCTGTCTAGGCTTGGGCAACCTGGCAGTATCCCAGCCCTCGTGCTTCCTTCGGGTGGCATGGCAGCTAGGCACCGGAAGGGTGCTACACCTGAACGCCTACTTCCTCAGTTTTTTTTGACGACCGATGCCTCAGAAGCGTTGTTGGCTTTGAATGACGTCAAAGGATCAGTAACGAGGTGATTAGAAAACTGGTATTTGGTTGTAGAGCAGGTACTTCAATCGCGAAAAACAAACAGCACCATCAACTGCGGTGGCTCGGTCATGTGCTACGCATGTCGAAACACTGTCTACCGAGACGAAGGTTGTTCCGCGTGCCTCCTTCAGAATGACACAAACCGCGATGTGGGAAATATATGACTTGGTAGAAGGGTGTGAAAGAGATTACGAAGAGTTTGGGTGTTGTGCGTCTTCCAGGATGAGGCCCCAGTAATCCCACCTGAGATTGGCTTGAGGCATTGCAAAAAATGGCAGCTAATCAGTGTTAATGGCGTTCGTGCTGTCAGGCTGGGTCCAAATTGCCTGATTGAGCGCATGGAGGTGTAGGCGCTTCAGAATGCTTGACATAGGCCAGCACTAGGTCCCCTCTCTCACCCATTCTTTTTCTCTTCTTTTCACTCTGGGGCTTCAGATTTAATTAAACGAAACTTATGGTTGTACGGCAGTGAAGCATCAGTGTCATACTGATGTTGCTGTCTATGATGATGATAATGACGATGACGATGATGATGAACGACAGGTGCATTCTCGTCGTCTTTCTTATAAGTTTTCTTCCACATAACCTGTCCACTGAAGCTCTAAGGATCAGAGCAGCGAGGGACACTCAAACGGCACCCGTTATTTGTATCCGAAGCAAAATAAGCGATGCGGATAAACAGCAGCCTTATTCTGTTTTGAGACACATGTGAGACGTAGAAAATGCACCTGAATGAGTGCGGAAGGCCAAGACATAAATTTCGCCGGGAGGCGGAAGAACGTGCAATCATAAATATAGCATCCTCTACAAGTCTGTGTAGTGCGTTGTTCAGTAGGCGGGAGATAGAGGAGTTCCAAACCAACCTTGTGTGCGAATCCCTTCTCCGAACGCGGGAAAGTAAGGTAATTCACGATAGCGTTATGCGCTAGTATGTTAGTCTTCTGCATGAAGAAGGCATCTACGTGCTTGCATGTCATTTCCTCAAACAGTGATGCTGGAAAACATGAGAGAAAAAACATAATAATGGGAACGAACAACTGTGGGCTGCAACACAAACTACGAGAAAGATTAGAAACACATTCACTCCAAGTAAGGCCGACTGTCTTGCAGTAAAAGTAGTAATTCTGGTCGATGGATTCGTGTATCTTACTTGACAACCAGTTCTCGCTTGGATTTCGAAGTAGTCGCTTCATGCGACAGCGATTGCACCCCGGGTACAGAAGATTGACGGGCAGACATCGGGCGAGGGTGACCGACAGGTACACAAGGTTAATTCGAGCAAAGGAAGCACCAGCACTAACGTTGAGTTAAAGGTGAGGTCATTTACTTTCTAGGGCGTGTAAAAATCCGGCAAGCTGAAGGCCCTTCCAACAAGATTCCGAGTAAACCCAGTCAAGGGCTAGTGCCTGAATGAAAGCGGTTACTGCCAAGTTGTCCGCTGTGGAACTTTTCGCGCCTTCCTAGGTGAGGCCCACGCGATTCTACTTAAGTATGATTACAAACCTAACAGGACGTGGCATGTAGCCGATCCCAGTGGCGACCTTCCTGTCGCTTCTTGATTGGACTGCCTAGGTAGGTCTTGTATGTCGTTGTGTGCTAGGGCTTGTATCAGATAAAGTCCGTGGAAAACGATCGGTCAATCCCGCTGGTGGCGCTTCCTCGAACAAGACGCACCCGTGCATTAACTTCAACGGTTTGGGAAAGTATGTGCACCCCACATCTGGTCGTTCCCTTCCCCTTTCTTCTCATTTTTTGCCAGGACTTTCTCTTCCATGGTTGTATGATAGTTTCATGTATGAATTACCACTAATGGTGTACTGATTTCCATGACGACGATGGTGATGTGGAGAGCGTTGAAGCCATGTCTACATTAGAGGCACGATCTTAAGCAAGCCGAGTGACACGGAGATCGTCATTTATTTTATGAGCTCGAGACAGTTCAGCGGTCAAGACGCGCAGCTGCTGACCGGAAGGTCCGTGAGCCCAACCAACCCTAGCTCCTGTCTGGAATTGGGCACAGCCTCAAACCTCATGTTTTCTCGGAGTTACATGGCGGCTATACAACGAAAGAGTGCCGCAGCTGAACGATTATCCCATTGTTCTCTATAATCTAATGAAAGGCCATGGTCATCTGAATTGGGATTCGAGCAAGTCTAGCAGCAGTCAGTCGACCATGGACGATAGCAGTGAGCGAAATTCAGGGACTTAGCATGCTACTCCGTTTAGTGGAACGTAATAAAATGTAATTGACGGCGTGAATAGTATCGTATGCACGCAACGTAATTTCCTTCTTACCTCCAGTGTCCCAGTACGGCTGGAAATGGTTGCCACAGGTGATCGATTGGTCGACCACGTTTCACTCTCCTCGAAATGATCCGAAGAGGTCCGCCAACCCTGCAATTGTTGCCGGAGAAGTCCTACTTGCGGCCTCATCATTGCGGTGTTATCACCGCAATGTAGGGTGGAATGGACGATTTAACGGTGTTGACAGAATACTGGCTTGTTGTTTAGGTCAGTTGGCTAAAACTTGATCTCACACCAACTACCGGAAAGTCTAATGGAGCATTCGTGATTTGAGATGCTGATCCAACAAGACGGCGCTCAACGAAGGATGACTGGCTCCTTGGGAAACTTCGAAAAGCCCGGTTGGACAATCTCCATCCGGAATGTGTACGAACCGAATCCCGATTACCGGCATGCAGGTCTACTAGCTTTCATAAGCATTACGCATAGTATGTAGAATTTTTAAACAGGCTTGACTTAGGATGAAATCAAGAAACGAAGCTCATGAACATCCTTGGTACCGATCATTATTGATGTGTATGGAAGAGCCAATATTGTACAAGTTGAATAGGCCTTGTCTTGGGGATCCAGTCAACTGTGATTCGCGTGAACTGAGTCTGCACTGCAGGGAGATAAGTGATAATAAACTTTGTCCTGACGTAATTCAACTGCATTGGTAGTCGGCTACTTGTAGCGTGTCCCGCGACACTCACAGAGTCTCTCATACCAGATTGGTCAATGGTTAGAGGTCTGACGAACACAGTCTCCTGGCCCTCCAGGTTGGGGGTTGGAACATGTGGCAACTTGTTCCGTAGAAATGGTAATGCATTTGCAT